AAATAATAAAAGCATTTGTGTAGTAATTTCTTTCAATGTGTATTAAAACCACACACATCTAAGACATTCTTTTAAAAAAACCGCATGGCACATAATGTATAAGTTATAACATTTTCTTACATCTTGAATACATGTCAGTGTATCATTATTAATAACATTTTTGAATTTATTCTTCAAGGTTAAAAATATTAATTAATTTTTAAGAATCATAACATCAGTGTGATATTTGCTGTCTAGTGGATTTTGCTTAATGTGCGTATGTTGCAATAAAGAAATGATATAATGATCAGGTTCAAGTCAAAACACCTTTATTATTATAGTGCTTTATACACTAGAGATTGTTTCAAATCAATGATGCAAACTTCAAAGATGAGGCAAATCCAAAAGCTGCTGTATGGAGATTAAAAGGTTGATTTTAATTGAGATTAACATTTTTGTTATAATATTTTTTTTAGGAAGGAAGGATACTTTGAAACACTAGTCAGCCTGAAAGTTATGGAAGGCAAGACACTCCAGGTGAACAGGTTAAAAATGAACAGAGCTAACTTCCCCAGCTGACTGATCGCATCAAGAATCACAAAACTTATTTTGTATTACATTACATTTGTGTTTAAAATTTTCTGATTTAAAATACAATGTTTAAATATGCAAATGTTATACTTAAAAATGGCATTATCTAGCTAATTAAACTAATTTGCATATATTTGTAGAACAAAAATCTGAACATCGGATTAAGCCAAGTTCAAAATTCTTGTTTCATTTGGTTGACATATGAACCCACAGTCCCACAGAGAAATTTTGGTCGGATTTTTTTATGTTCATCCGATCTCCTTTTGTAAGTGACTTTTCTTTCTGTTTTAAAGATGCTTTCTTTGAATTGTTTGAGTACTCAAAAGAGAATATAAGAAAATATAACAATTAATTTGTGTTTCCTGCTAGCTAAATTTCACATACAAAAAAAAAATCAGGCTCTAAACCTCTCTTTTGTCTATTCACCGAGCAGGCACACAACGTCATAAGACGTTGATATTTGGTAAAATTGTGGTTGCGACGTCGGGTGACCAAAATTTTATGTAAATTCAACGTCTAATGTCAATGTTAAATTGATGTCCAATACCGATGTCAGCTGACGTTGATATTTTGTTGTTTTTGGTTGTGTAACCAAAATCCAATGATAAGTCAACGTCAAATTGACGTCAACCCGATTTTTATTTTCAACCAAAATGCAACGTCTGTCTGACGTGATGTCCAACGTCAACCTGACGTTACATAGACGTCAGGTGCCTGCTGGGCAGAGTTTATTTAGACAAGTACATGGAAACCACAAATTAACCATTCTACACCAATCATAGTTTAACCATTGTTTTTGTACAATACAATCTTTCTTTTTGTTTTGTTTTTATAACTGTACTGCCTTTGATGTTTTCTACTGTTTAGCGAATAAAAAAGAAATAAAAGATTTGCGAAGCCGCTCTGAAGCCCCGATCTGAATCAAATGATTCGTGAACCCGCACCAAAGTCACAATCTGAATCAAATGGTTTGCGCTCCACGCTCCGGTGTGGATCGTGAATCATTCAATCATGATCATTCAATTCAGATCTAAATCAAATGATTCCGATGCTCCAAAGTACCGATCAGAATCAAATGATTCGGGATCCGTGCTCTGAAGTTCCGATCTGAATCAAAAGATTTGCGATATGGGCTCCGAAGTCCCACTGTGTTCCATTTGGTTATCCTAATCCTTTAAAAGCCAAGTCCTTCCGATTGGAACACAGGGTGTGACACCAAACAACTTCCTTGTGCAAAGGATCATGGGGGCCCGAAGTATCCATCAGTTGTAGCCTTCGAAATCCTTCATTCCGAAGAGCCTTTTGAAGTGGCCAGTTTGAGCACTTCAGTTTGGAACGACCCTTCAATATGATTGATTGTTGATTGTTTTCAACATGATTGTTTTCAGTGTCCATCGGAGGGCGACATTTGGAACGCACCACATATTTGAAGTAATTGATTAGAGATCCGTGCTCCAAAGTTTCAATCCAAATCAAAAGATTTGCGATCTGTGCTCCGAACTCCCAATCTCCGATCTAAATCAAATGATTCGCGATGCTTCGAATTACCAATCTTGGATCCACACTCTGAAATCCCGATCTGAATCAAATGATTCGCGCTCCACACTCCGAAGTTCCGATCTGAATCAAACGATTCGCAATCCGTGCTCTGTAGTTCCAATCTGAATCAATTAATTCGCAATCCGATTGGAGCTCTTCAAAACAGTGAATCATTTGCGGCACAATGGTAACTGATTCTGAGTTTTGAAAAGCTCCATTTCACCCATCACTACACGTGCTTTTTAAAATCACTACAAGCAATGTCAAAATTCGAAAATGAACAAAGTTGGGTATAAAGCATTACACAGTAAACTGTTACTGTATTCTAATTACTTTTCCGATAATGCAATAATGCAATGCGTTACATTTTAAATTTATGTCGCCTAATTTGATTACAGTTACTAATGTCAATAAAATTAAGTTACAAATGCAGTGTTAAAAAATATGAAGTAAAAATCATATTTTGCTCGTCAGTATGCCATTTAATAAATCACAAAGAATGCGAGCAAAAATTAGCCCTACAACATTAGATGCAATGAAAGGTTGCCTATCATATTTCAAAATGTTGCACTCGATTTAACATATCACATATTCAAGTTCAACTACTAGTGACTGTGTACAAGTTTATGTCACAATAAGTGAATCGCTTGAACTGAATGATCAAACTCACGAGTTTGAATCAATCGGAGCGGTTCCAGTGTAAATAACTCACTCAGTTAAATCGGTTTGTCTGTTCCTCCTTCAGCCATGTTTTGACACTGTCAGTACTACTGGATTAGTGCTAGTTTTGTGGCATTATAAGTGAAAAAAAAAGAAAATATGATGTTTACAAATAAAATTTAAACATTTCCACTCCAAAGATAACATCCAACACATCTACCAACATAGGCTATTCAGGTGAGGTAAGCAGTTTTCCTGCTAACTAGTAACCTAAAACACTCCATTAATACGACGAGCTGCACCTCAAAATATGTGTTAGATTGAAACATTGTACGTTATGATCGAGTTTGTAGCTTAATTCACTATATTTGAAATAGTTTGACCGCTGCAGTTCAGTTGGTGACAGTTCAATAGGAAATAAGTTTTTTTTAGATATTTGAGAAAGTATTGTTGTATCTGATTGTATTACTCTATATAGAATAGATTGATATCCTATGTAAAAAGCCTGGGTCTCGCTGTATCGCTCAGTCTGCACTGCAGTGTCTATTCACAGGCGCGATCCCACTACTGATCGACACGGGGGCTTTGACCTGCTCCGTCTCCGACCTGGGCCGGTTCACCCCTCCTTATGACCTGGTGGTCCCGAGCTCCCCCAGGAGCACCATATCGACACCGAACTTAGTGCGGACACCCGATTGACATAGTCCACTGCAGTCCAGAAGCCCTGAGCTCAAGCAATCCGCCAGCCTCAGCCTCCCAGTAGCTTGGATTACAGGCGCCGCCACTGAACCCGGCGAGAGCCGCAAGTATCAGCTCTGCTGCTCAACCTGCTGCTCACAGCGCCCTCTAGTGCAGATAAACACAACACTACACTGACATTAGCTGTGGAGCAGAGTCAACTAGTTCCCTTTCGAACGGTCTCTCCCGTTGCGTGAGTCGCTAAGGGGGAAAACTCCTGTTTTACTCTGTAGTGAAGCCTGATTTGTTCACATTTATGTAGCTGTACAAACCAATGGTGCTTTAGCCCACTAGAAAGGGCGGAGCCGACCCCTATATAAGTTGGCTCAAAGCGCCATTCATCAGATCATTCTCCTTCAGCAACGAGGATCATCTCTTTGCTGACTCTGGAAGAAGCCAAGAAGAATCGGAGGAAGAAGAAGCTCCAGCTCTGCTCGACGCTCCTGCAGCGAGGATTCCCTGTGGCCATCCGGCTCTCGAAGAGCAAGACTGAGAGCAAATTTCAACGCGCGTTGTTGCAAATGTCGCACCACGAGTGTGGCTCATGCAAGGATCCCTTGCATGAGACGGACGGGCACAGTGAGTGCGTCGCCTGTTTTGGCAGCGCCCATGCAGAGGCTGTGCTCACTGACGGCTCATGCTCCCATTGCGAGAGTATGAGTCTTTCCCTTCTCCGCTCGCGGATCGCCTTTTTTCAGGAAGGCGGTCCCCCTCGCTCAGCTCTCACGTTTCCTTTCTCTCCTAAGAGAAAACGGAGCAGCGGGTTCGAGCGGTGTCACGTCGGCTCAGCGCCCCCGTGCCACTTAGAGCGCCTCGGGTTGATCATCAACACGCACAAGAGTCAGGTGTTTCCCAGACAGCGAGCTGTCTTTTTGGGAACAATTTTAGACCCCGCCCAAATGCGGGTATGCATTACGGCAGTACGATCCCTGACTATTCAGCAATTGGTGGCGTCTCTCAAACCGAGGACGACACGCCCTCTAAAGGTTTTTCAGAGGTTGCTCGGCCTTATGGCGGCTGCCACCTCTGTAATTCCTCTGGGCCTGCTTCACATGCGGCCCCTTCAGTTTTGGTTCAAAGCCCGCGTTCCACGCCTGGGGTGGCTTCCTGTCAGGGTCCCCCTGGTGACCTCTCGCCTGTTCCAAACAGGAACGGGGTTAGGCCTGACTTACAGAAGGAAGGTAGTCACAACGGACGCATCCAACTCGGGTTGGGGCGCCCTGTTGGAGGGCAATCCGGCGTTCGGGCTCCTGGTCAGCCCCGGCGCAATGCCTGCATATCAACTGCCTAGAAATGTTGGCGGTTTTCTTAGCCCTGAATACCTTCCTTCCAACCTTAAAAGGGCACCACGTCTTGGTCCGGTCGGATAGCATGACGGTCTCAGGTCACACACTCTTTACTGGATGGCTCGTAGCCTCCTTTTTTGGGCACAGAAAGAACTCCTCTCGTTAAGGGCGGTTCTTGTGCCAGGCAGATTGAACCTTGGTGCAGACATGCTGTCCAGAGGCAAGGTAGCACCGGGCGAATGGGCGCTACACCCTCAAACGGTTCAAGAGATCTGGTCAGTCTTGGAGAGGGTAGAGGTCGACCTCTTTGCCTCACTGCCCAACATACTTCTCGATACAGCGAGATGCTCTGGCCCATGACTGGCCCCGTGCTCGCCTATATGCGTTTCCCCCGATCGCCCTGATTCCTCAGGTCATCAGGCGGGTCAGGTAGACCAAGTGCTCTCTCCTCCTAATGGCCCCACTCTGGAGGAACCAGGCCTGGTCCCCAGAGCTAGTGCAGCTCTCAGCAGCAGCCCTGTGGCCCATTCCGCTGAGGAGGAACCTTCTCTCGCAAGCGAAAGGTATGATTTGGCATTACCGGCTGGAGCTGTGGAGCCTTCATGTATGGTGCCTCGACGGGAGCTTAATCAGCAACCTGTTCTCATTTATTTATTTGGCTATTATTTAATTCAGTGTATCTTATCTGATAATAAAGAAATCATTTGCTACCTTTGGATTTTCTACAGGCTTGATTATTAGGCTAAATGTTTTATGTATTTGTAAATGAAGTGAAGTGGTGGTGACCCACACTCAGAATTAGTGCTCTGCATTTATTCCATCCAAAGTGCACACACACAGCAGTGAACACACACCCGGAGCAGTGGGCAGCTATTTTTGCTGCGGCGCCCGGGGGAGCAGTTGGGGCTTCGGTGCCTTGCTCAAGGGCACCTCAGTCGTGGTATTGAAGGTGGGAGAGAGCGCTGTACATTCACTCCCCCCACCTACAATCCCTGCCAGTACGAGACTCGAACCCGCAACCTATGGGTTATGAGTCTGACTCTCTAACCATTAGGTCACGACTTCCCCCTTAATTGCCTCTCTTCAGTCCATAGACTTTCAGCAGAGACCCCATAGCATACTGTGACTTTTCTGAGTTGTAATAAAGAATGAATGGGGGAAAGTCACGTGAGAGGAGGCAATGCCTCCATCGCTCTATAATTGGATATGATCGGTTATGATTGAATGTGACTGGTTCGTGCGATAAATCCTGCCTCTTGTTTTGTGCAAGCTCTCGGCCTGAATCAAGAAAATGATGGCGTTATTGACTAATTATAAAGTAAGTAAACAACTCTCCCGCTTAGATACCACTACTTTGTGTCACGTCGAAATAAAACTAGAAATGGTCTGAAAACGTGATGACTGCGTCGGTTTTTAGTGAGCATTCAGCGTGATGAAATGTAAGATATATCTTCGTGTCTGTGGCAGTGTTTACAGAGCTTTTATGATGATGACTCGAAAATAAGTTGACTATTAAAAATAACAGCTGAACATCAGTTCACAAATAAAAAAA